GTGGGAACTCCAAAATGATGCAGGAAAATAAAAACTCCCAACCTGAGTGATATCTGGGCCGAGCTGGTGTTCTCTAAAATTGAGGAATGACTTTAGGAACAACGGAGGTTAAGAGCAGAATGTATTTATTAGGGGAAAGAAAAGAAAGCTTCTGTCCAACAGAGGGACAGAAGGGGGGCCTGGGTGTGTTACCCCTGTTTCTTTATCACATCACAGCACTGCACAGATTTTCCAGACTTTCAGCCCCTGTCAAGGTCTAATTCATTCATCTATGAATATTGATAAGGCCCTCCCACAGCAGAGCAAAGCAGACTAGAAGATGCCTACTCCTTTAGCGTGGAGGCTTTGATCTCGTTCCTTGGTGGCAAAGGGTTCAGGATGTGTTCTGTCTGTTGGGTCTGAGGCCTACGGGTCACCAGGCTCACCCCAGCTGGGCTTCTCTCTCTCCAACCCAGAAAGAGGAAGAACAGTCAGAACAGAAGACCAGGGGCTGGGGATTTAGCTCAGCAGCACAGCGCCTGCCTGGCAAGCGCAAGGTCGTTAGTTCGTTTCCTGGTACCGGAGAAAAACCAAAACCAAAACCAAATAAACAAAAAGAACAGAAGACCAAATGCCAGCACTTGGGAGGCTGAGGCAGGAGGATCGCCATAAGTTCGAGGCCAGCCTGAAGTATGTAGCAAGACCCTGTCTCAAAAAAGAGAAGGAGGCCAGTCCAAAGCAAACATAATTTTCTTGTGGGTGGCGTAAGAGGAAGAGGTCCAGAGCACTCTGGAGGGGTGGGGCTGCGGAGCTGGGCACGGCTCGATCTGGGGCCACGTCCTGTTTCATGGGGCGAGGGCTCCGCCTCCACCCGTGAGGGTCCACGGTTGGTTGATCGGCAGTGGGGCTTGTGCCGGGGGTCCGGTCTTGTGGGCTGCTGGGGGATGTGGGGAGGCTCGGCAGGCGCTGTGCTAGGAGGGACGGCGCTCCTCTGCGCAGGCCGGAGTCAAAGCCACACCTGTCAGCTGTGACCACAGAACTGCCTGAAAGCTGCTTGCTGCAAGTGAGTGTACGCACATGCACACACACGCACACACGCACACACGCACACAGACACGCACGGAGGAGGCCTCTTACACCCCCGGCCGGGTCCCTTGCGCCCCTCCAGGCGGAGTAACATCTTTATTCGGTGGGGACACTCCCCCCCCCCACCGTCCTCCGCCCGCTGGGGTCTCGGACTTCCCGAAGCATCGGGCTTGTCACCTCCCGGCTCTCGGTGGCCTGTGAGTGTCTTCAGAGGACCTGCCCCTTCCGGTCTCCTCAGCACAGCCTCACCAAAGCCCGCGCAGGTGGCCGGAAGGCAAGCTGTCGTTTGCGAAGGCTCGGCTTCCCGGGGAGGGCCAGGGGTGCCGGGACCGATGGGCGCCACCGGGGCCTAGGACCGACCGGAGAAACTTCATGTCTCCCGCTTCCGAAGACCAGGAGTCTGCAACCAAGGAGCGGCGGAGCTTCTGGAGGGCCTGGGTTCCTGACCCTTCTGGCTCCTGCTAGCTGTCTGTCTGTCTGTCTGTCTGTCCTCCTTGTTTTATGCCCTCCTACTCCAAGCGCTGTCTCCTGTCTTCAACCCCTG